CAGGCCCAGGCAGCTCAGAGCGTGAGTACGCATCTCGGACGAAGGACGATTAGCGAGTTAACGGACCATTTGTGAGCCAATGTTTAGACGAAATAACGGGACTATTTCCGAAATGGACTGACTTTCAGGCCGGACGATTATTGAGGGACCACTGTAATTACCTCTCTTCACAGCTCCATCACTGTAGACATCAATTTGTCTCTTTTTGCAGAGGATTTCATTGACCTTGTTGAAGCCTGTGTCAGGTTTAACCTCTTCACCTTTGGCAATAATCTGGAATAGGTATAGGGTCACTCCATAGTGCAGTTTTAGCACTGTGGAGTGACCCCACTCCAGTGCTAAAACTGCACTCATGGCGTTTTAAATAAAACACCACGAGAGGAACCATTTTAAGGATATTATCCCATGACACATCATTTGGCTTAGAGATGTAGATATCCTATGTGTTTCCACCTAACATGGCTGAGCCCTTTATACACTTAACAGTAGAAAAAGAGAGAGACAGCTCCTTACCCTCCCTGGATGTCTTATTCATCAAGGATGGAGATAGTCCTAAATGCTAGGTACAGCCTCTCCTCACTTAGCGATGTACTCATTCACCAATGACTTGAACTTACGATGGGCTCTCTGACCAATATTCATACCTAAATAGTGTATATTAGAGCTGATTTCCTCTAGTCTGTTTATTACAATACAGGTACTATCCGACTTACGGCCGAGATTGATTCCAACCAACCGGTCGTTAGTCAAAATGGATGCAAGTCGAACCTTAGAAAATTGCTGATAGGGATACTTCAAAAATTAAATCTTAATCTTGTAAAGCAATCATTCTTTTGTGTTTGTTGTGGAAGTCGCTTCAATCCATTATACATATGGTGGAAAAGTCAGCTGGTACATGTGAAAGAAAGGTTACAAAAGCTATGGCTTGGGTAACATAAGTAAGTAAGTTTATTCAGGTATACACAAATACAGTTACACAGATTATCATACATAGCAGCCTATGTGTAAAGTACCTAGGATAACCCAAAAAAGTCAGAGTGACTTATTTCTATGAGGGTCCTTATTATTTCCATAAAAAGTAAGTTGGGAAAATGTATATGCAGTAGACCATCATTTACAATGGTAGTTACCTTCCTGAAAATGCTGTGCTAAGTAAAATCATGTTAGATGAACTGAAGAACTTATGGGAAAAATAGGGTTATGTTCAAGGTAGCCCCCAAAAAGTCAAAAAACTTTTTTTTTAGGCCTCTACATCTTACAAAAATAAAAGTGAATATGTAGTTGTAGTTCATTGTTGTGATGTGTTATGTTGTTTTTACTGCTTAAGACTACAAATGTAACAGAAATAATAGTATTTCTTACCTTAAATTGTGGGTGCTGATATTTGTGGATGATTGTGAAGAGAGTGGAGAGTTATGCTGTGGCCCTACTGGGCTGAGGTGGATGGTAGAAGTTCTGGTACTGAAGTTGATGGTTGTACTGGAGTGTCTAACTTTACATCATTCAGTCAGTCAAGTCATTCAGTTAAGTCACTCAGTAAGTCAGTCAAGTCACTCAGTAAGTTAGTCAAGTCACTCAGTAAGTCAGTCAAGTCACACAGTAAGTCAGTCAAGTCACTCAGTAAGTCGGTCAAATCACTCAGTAAATTAGTCAAGTCACTCAGTAAGTCAGTCAAGTCAGTCAGTCAGTTCAGTTATTCATTAAGTCAGTCATTCAGTCACACAAACTCATGTTTACCTTTTTTTCTGTGTACAAAGTAACACTTCATTGCAGCTACAGGTTATCTCTTATCTAATATCTTTGTTTCTTTGTTAATTCTAAGACTTAAGTGCTTATACCTCTTCGTGCCACTTTCAGCAACACTGGTATGGATACTGGGTGTCATGATTGCTTTACAGATACAAGATATAATAATTAAAATATCATAACACAGCTGACTTGTAGCAGAGAAAGACTGGACACACATGAAATACGAACGCTGGGATGGTGGGGTGGTGTCGGGGAGTGGTAGGGGATGGCTCCCCGGCTGCTCCACAACAAGGCGGCCGCTTGAGCAAAAGATATTTTTTTTTTCCTTTCCACAAAGTGAACCATGTTAAATTAATTATACGATGTTTTTTTTTTTTTCAACAAGTTGGCCGTCTCCCACCGAGGCAGGGTGACCCAAAAAAGAAAGAAAATCCCCAAAAAGAAAATGCTTTCATCATCATTCAACACTTTCACCACACTCACACATTATCACTGTTTTTGCAGAGGTGCTCAGAATACAACAGCTTAGAAGCATATACGTATAAAGATACACAACATAGCCCTCCAAACTGCCAATATCCCAAACTCCTCCTTTAAAGTGCAGGCATTGTACTTCCCATTTCCAGGACTCAAGTCCGACTATATGAAAATAACCGGTTTCCCTGAATCCCTTCACTAAATATTACCCTGCTCACACTCCAACAGATCGTCAGGTCCCAAGTACCATTCGTCTCCGTTCACTCCTATCTAACACGCTCACGCATGCTTGCTGGAAGTCCAAGCCCCTTGCCCACAAAACCTCCTTTACCCCCTCTCTCCAACCCTTTCGAGGACGACCCCTACCTCGCCTTCCTTCCCCTATAGATTTATATGCTTTCCATGTCATTCTACTTTGATCCATTCTCTCTAAATGACCAAACCACCTCAACAACCCCTCTTCTGCCCTCTGACTAATACTTTTATTAACTCCACACCTTTTCCTAATTTCCACACTCCGAATTTTCTGCATAATATTTACACCACACATTGGTAGTAGGTTGGTAGACAGCAACCACCCAGGGAGGTACTACCATCCTGCCAAGTGAATGTAAAACAAAAGCCTGTAATTGTTTTACATGATGGTAGGATTGCTGGTGTCTTTTGTCTGTCTCATAAATATGCAAGATTACAGGCATGTCTTGCTACTTCTACTTACACTTAGGTCACACTACACATACATGTACACGTTTATTTATACATACTCATCTGAGTTTTCATTGATTTTATCTTAATAGTTCTTGGTCTTATTACTTTTCCTTTTATATCCATGGGGAAGTGGAATAAGAATCTTTCCTCCGTAAGCCATGCGTGTTGTAAAAGTCAACTAAAATGCCGGGAACAATGGGCTAGTAACCCCTTTTCCTGTAAAGATTACTAAAAAGAATAAAAAATTATACAATGTGTTACATAAAATTGTGCCGCAATTCTTCAATTGTGCAATACTCAAATCGTGCCAAATAAACTCACACCAAATGACGGTCTACTGTGGATGGATTTTAGAAGGCATGTTGCGGTGTCCCTTCTCTATTACATAAGAACATAAGAAAGGAGGAACACTGCAGCAGGCCTGTTGGCCCAAACTGGGCATGCCTTCTCAAATCCATCTATCCATATACATTTGCCCAATCTATTTTTAATGCTACTCAAGGCATAGCATTTGTAACCTTTCTTTCTCATGTACCAGCTGACTTTTCCACCACAATTATAACTACTACTACTACCTCTACTTGCGTGGGTGAAATGTTGTCAATAAAGAACATTATATTGCTGCGTCTGATCGTGTGTCTGGCAGCCCTGCTGCCAGATGCACGGTCTTAAGTCAAGTGGTCACATGTTGCGTAGGTCGTAAGTCAGATGGTGAGTGTACACAGTACACTGCTGTAAAAATGTTTAAAAATATATCAGAAATGTTATAAATGGTGCAAAGGTGATATTAAAACAATGTCAAAGATGGTTAACATAAACCCATTACCATTATAGTATGCTCTTAGGAATGGAATTCCATCATTAAGTGAGGAAAGGCTGTATATAGAAAAAGTATCAATATGACTTGATACACCAATTTTCGAACCATGACTTCAAAACCAAGAGGGATGTTATCATATGTTACTTCCTGTGAGCAGTCCGAATAGACTGTGCAGAATATCTTTCAGAAGAAGAAGAATATGTTGATCCAGAGTTCTCTAACTTGAAATTCCTAACACACATTATCCACTCCTGCACACCCAAAAAGATACTGGCATTGATAGACAACTGGTCCTCCCAACTAGACAGGCTGCCTTCACCATCGCCTTGATTTTCAAATAAGCCAACATGTATGTAGCAGTCCTTACTACTAAAAGTATCTAATAAAAAAAACAACAACAACAAAAAAACAGAAACCCAAAACACAGAACTGTTTGCACAGCAGGAGCATACACTATGCTATGTGTTGGCTGCAATAAATTTAATGTTGCAGAGACCAGCAGAGACATGCTTGCAGGAACATAAATATACCCGCAGGAGGGATAAAGCCAATAATGCATGTGTAATCTATCGCAACCTTCATTCTCACGTCATGGTCTGGGAAGACAACAGTTGTTATATCACAAGAATAACAGGGCCAGATGAAGAATTTTGGAAGCAGCAGTGATTCATCTAAAAAAAAAAACATTGAGCAGAACAGTGGAACGTGCATGTTGGCAGGACCCATTGCCCATGATTCTTATAATAAAACATTATTACCTGACCTCCTCCCCTTACTCCCACCAATATCTGACCTCACTAAACTTGATCTTGCAATTTAAAGACATCACATGTAATCTGTCCTTCTTCGAGCCTGACCTTATAGTACTTGTTTGGTCATAAGGCAGCAACTACATATGAAATGTGTGGTTGCTGGGGTTGAGCTCCAGCTTCTGGTATCATATTTACTTTTGAAAAGAAATACTTCATCAGCATCTGCCATCAGTGTATTTGCTCATTCCTGTGTACTTGATAAAGCCCAACCTTGGCAAACATTGTATCTTATTAAAAAGGATTCTGTTACTAGTGTCTTTATTCACACATTCCAACTTTTGCCACTATATACCTCAGGAATGCACTTTTGATTATACCACACCTGTTTGGGAAAATATGTTCAGAGTTGCAAGTAATCCACTGATAAAGCTTTCAGAAACCCATTAACACCCTAAGGAAGGGTCCTACTGAATAATACATTCTTTGATAGTTACCGTAATGTGCTTGCATAATTAAGTTCCCTCTTAAATCGAACAAGAAGCCACCGGAAGCAGAAGTAGAAGTTGGCAGAGTCACGCACTTCTAGGTATGACATGAGCTCTGGGTCGACCAAGTGCACAATTTGGTGCACATCCTTCAGTTGTTGCTTCATCCCTGACTGATCCATATCAAAATTCCTGTACTGGTTATACAAAATAATCAATCAATGTACATCTTACACAGAAAAATAAGAGCTTATAATTACACACATTCTTTTTCCTAAAGAGTTTATTTAATGTACTACAGCAGCAAATGCATTCAAGAGATATTAATACTGCTCCTGGAGGAAAGCACCCACAAAAATGTATCTACATTCCATTGAAGAATCTAATTTTTTGGATATTTTTTTATAGGTAATACTGCAAAAACATCAAACAACTTATATAAACTCGAAGACTTTCACAAAGATTTTGATTACTTGACATTTTAACAGAAGGGCAGCCAGTGAACAGATTCAGTTATCCAACATTTTTCTAGATCAATGACTTTCCAAAGCCCAAATCTTTTTATTTTGATCATATATTACAATGATATATGACAATAAAACACTAAATTAATCCAACAATGAAACAAAATTGATTATGCAGACTTGCTTTTGTATTAATCTCAGTTACTAGTTTCATGGAACTCCTAAAATGTGAGTTACTTGGCAGGTAGAACATGAGACAAGAAAAAACAAATGAGGAAAAATAGAAGTCCTTGCGTTGATAGCAGTTTTTTTAATTACAGAACAATCAATCAAGATACAAGGACAGTCAACATAAGATACAAATACTCACCACAATATCCATGTAACCAACAAAACACCAGAATGCTGTTGCTTCATTCTGTGTTACATAGAGAATGGGAGCAAGAAGGTCACTCATGCCCTGGACGTAGCCCAAGTCAAAATTGTACATCACATATGTCATGAGAACATCGTGAAGTAGAACTACATTGGGATTGTGCTCGCCTTCAAAAAATGGATGATTTCGATCTGTGCGATTAACATCTTTCTCTGCAGGACATAAATTCCATGTATACTGTAGTGTAAACAGTGGTGATATGGTATTAGTCAATTATTACTTTCAACAGTTTGTCTTCCCATTTAATCACTAGTTATTTCTGAGAGATACATAATAAAGTCCAGTTCACACAGTCATGCAGATGCACAACATTAAAGTCAATTCTCAATTTACCTTAGAGATTAACACACAAACAACCTGCACTTAGGAGAATGAAACCTCTGACCATGTTTCAGTCTAACCTGGAACATTAACTGTGTGATTTGTTAGCCCCTTGAAGGTCGAGACCCCTGCTCGCCCCTTGAAGGTCGAGACCCCTGCTTGCCCCTTGAAGGTCGAGACCCCTGCTCACCCCTTGAAGGTCGAGACCCCTGCTCGCTCCTTGAAGGTCAAGACCCCTGCTCGCAAACTTGCTCCCAGGGTCAAAGAAAAAAAGAAAAAATCTTATGAAATAATATAGAATCTTTTCCTGAAGGTAATAAAACCAAAAGCACAAAATTTGATGGAAAACTTATGGAATTACGCTCTCATGAAGTTAATGGCTCAGTGATATTTACGCATTGACAATTTTGTCCACTTTGAGCCTTATTTTGGGCAAATTAAATTGTTCCAGTCGACTAAACTCATAGCTGCTTGTTGTACTCAATCTATTGAGTACAACAGACTGCCCATTTACCTATTTTAACTATTTATTTAGTTATTTATTTATTTATTTACAATTTGAGCACACATACAGAGGTACAAAAAAATACAGATAAGAGCAGCATGCCAAAGCCACTTATACTATGCATAGCATTACGGGCTGGCTTAAAATTAACTTAAGATTAACTAAGCAATGATGAAATCAGTGATAAAACATTAATGTAAACAGATTACTATAAAGCACAAGTGAGTATTACAAAGACAGGTCATATGGTTGCATGCATTGCTGTACATTCAGTAGAATGGAGTATTCTGTTAGGTAGTGTATTTAAAAAATAATAAAGTTAGATTGGGTTTTAGGTTTAACATTTATGTGATATAATTGTGAGAAACATTTAAGATATACAATTTATAAGGTTCAGTTATTCAGTATTTATTTGGTTTTGGGTGAGTAAGTGATCTTTGAGAAGAGACTTGAATTTATAAACAGGTAGTGTTTCTTTTATATTTACAGGTAATGAATTCCAGATTTTAGGGCCTTTTATGTGCATTGAGTTTTTGCATAGCGTGAGATGGACACGAGGAACATCAAAGAGTGATCTGTGCCTTGTGTTATGGTCATGTGTTCTGTTGAGGTTGGCAAGGAGATGTTTGAGGGGAGGGTTAATATCAGAGTTAAGTGTTCTATGTATGTAATAGGTGCAGTAATAAGTATGGATGTTTTGTATGGTGAGTAGGTTGAGTGTATTGAATATTGGTGGAGTGTGCTGCCTGTAGTGAGAATTTATCATTCTAACTGCAGCCTTTTGTTGGGTAATTAGTGGTCTGAGATGGTTACTTGTTGTTGAGCCCCATGCACAAATTCCATAGGTGAGATAGGGGTAAATAAGAGAGTGATATAGGGCCAGGAGGGCTGACTGTGGAGCATAGTACCGTATCTTCGATAGTATGCCTACAGTCTTGGAAATTTTCTTAGAAATTTGTTGTATATGTGTATGAAATTTGAGTCTATTATCAAGGTGGATTCCTAAGAATTTTCCCTCTGTTAGCTTTGTGATAGGTGATCCGTTTATCATTATGTTAAGAGGGACATCTATAGCTCTGTTACCAAACTGAATGAAGTAGGTTTTGTCAATGTTTAGTGTAAGTTTGTTAGTCCTCATCCAGGTAGATATTTTCTGTAATTCGGTATTTACAGTATTGGCTAGCGTGACTGGGCTCGGGTGGGAGAAGACGTATGTAGTGTCATCTGCAAATAGTGTGGGTTTGAGTAATTGCGAAGCATTTGGTAGGTCATTTATGTATAGGAGAAAGAGAAGAGGGCCAAGGACACTTCCCTGTGGGACACCAACTGTAATTGGTTGTGCAGAAGTGTTTGCCCCATTTGCGTACACATATTGGCTTCTGTTGCTGAGGTATGACTTGAGGTAGTTGAGGGAGTGCCCACTTATACCATAGTGTGACAATTTTACGTGGAGCAAGTCATGGTCAACTGTATCAAAAGCTTTACGTAAGTCAATGAAGATCCCCAGTGGGACTTCTTTTTTCTCTATTGCAGTGTATATATGTTCTAGCATGTGTATAATAGCATCATTAGTATTTTTATTAGGCCTGAATCCAAATTGGCAGGGGTTGAGTATGTTTTGGGAGATAAGGTAGGAGTAGATTCGTTTATGAATTAATTTTTCGAAGATTTTTGAGAGAGGGTGTAAGTTGGATATTGGCCTATAGTTATTCAACTCTGTTTGGTCTCCTCCTTTGTGGATCGGGGTGACCCTTGCTATTTTGAGTACTGTAGGGAAGGTGGAGGATTCAATGGATTTGTTAAAGAGTGTTGCAATGATTGGTGATAGCACTTGTGACACTTTTTTGTATATAAAGGGTGGTAAGGTATTTAAATCTCCTGCCTTGTTTTTTAGTGTGCTGATAATAAGGGAGACTTCGTATGGGTTAGTCGGAGCTAGGAACAGTGTGTTCGGGTAGTTGCCGGTGAGGTAGTCATTTGGTGGGGGTATCTGAGCTTGGGATTTTATTGGCAAGGTTTTGTCCTATAGTGGAGAAGAAATCATTGAGTCTGTTTGCTGTTTCTGTTGGTGGGAGTTGGGGTTCATCTGATTTTGCTAATTTTATTTCGCTATTTCGTGATATCTTTTTTGTTCCCAGAATTTCTGATATGGTTTTCCAGGTCTTTTTTATATCACCTCGTAAGTTGGATAATCTGTTCTCATAATACAATTTTTTTGCCCTTCTTATCAGGCTGGTTAGGATTGACGAGTAACGTTTTGTTTGGTCTCTGGTTATGTAACCCATTCTGTACTGTTTTTCATATTGGTGTTTTGTATTTATGGATTTGAGAATGCTGGGTGTTAGCCAGGGACTGTTCAGTCTCTTAGCTGTCATCTGTTTAGTTTTTTTAGGGCAGTGCTTGTTATAGAGGTATTGGGTGTTTTTTAGAAAATTATTAATACATTCGTCAATATCTGTATAGATTTCTAGCTCAGTGTGCCAGTCAATATTTGCTACTGCTGTTGCGAAGTTATTAATGGCTGCCTCATTGTGAAGTCTGAAGGTGACTTTAGTAGTGTCTTGGGGTAATTTACCAAGAGTTGTTATGAGGTAGTGGTCTGTGGTATTATCTGTAATTATGCCTGATTTTAAAGGGGATATGGTGTTGGTCCAGATGTGGTCAAGTAGGGAAACACTAGTCTCTGTAACTCTTGTAGGTTTTGTTACTGTTGGTAGCAACATACAGTTACTCATTGTGTTTGTGAATTCAGTAACGTGTGGGTCCTGGTCTTGCAGGAGATTTATATTGAAGTCACCTGAGAGTAGTAAGTGATCTTTGTTCATGCGTGCATCAGTTATCATACTTCCTAGGTTTTGACTAAATTGGCTAATGTTTGACTGTGGAACTCTGTAGATGTTTATCAATGTGAGAGGTTTTTGTAGGTATTTGGATTTGAATTTGGCTATTATATATTCCCCATGTTCATCCCTTGTGCAAGTATTAGTGATACATTCTAGTTGGTCTGAGTAGTATATGGCTGTGCCACCCCCTTGTTGGTCTGGCCTACAGTTGTGTATGGCTGTGTAACCAGGAATGGCATAGACATCTGTACTATCAGGCTTTAGCCAGGTTTCAGTTAGTGTAATGATGGACATATTGGCATGTAAGGAATTTAGTAATGCTATGAGGTCATCGTAATGCTTGCTTAAAGATCTGATATTGTAGTTAAAGATAGTTATGTTGTTGTTGGCACTGAGAAGTGCCTTTGATTGTTCTGCAGTGTAGTAATTACAGTAACTGTTTGATTCATTTAAGTCATTAAATAAGAGGTTGGTATCAGGATCAATGCTTGTAATCATAAGATTTGTAGTGAATCTATAGTTAGAATTAAGTATAAAACAAAGTAAATAGTCTTAAGCTAAAAAATAGCACCTGAATTATTTAACAAATGTAAAATAATGAGCTAAGGTAGTTTTTTTTTTTTTTTTTTTTTAAGCTAAAATAAAGGGGACAATATAAAAGGGACTAATACAAATAAAGTGATGATCAAATAATGGAGCTTGGGAATATGATAGTAGGTAGTACTATAAAGGTAATTCTTTAAAGTTAGAATTATAGTATAAAATTATAATATAAAAGGGACTAATATAAGTTGTGGTGAACAATAAAGTGGTAATCAAATAAATGAGCTTTGGAATATAATGGCAAAAATTGTGAACTTATTCTACTTTAGCACCTGAGAATAGCACCTTGATTATTTTAACAATTGTGAATATATAAACTAGGGTAGTTATATAAAGCTAAAATAAAGGAGAAAATATATAAGGGACTAAAATTAAGTAATGGTAAACAAAGTTAAATGGACAGATGGTCACTATGAAATAATATTGGTTTAGGAGTAAGATCTGATTTGTAATATTAAATAAATTGAGCAGTTTACTGCACAATAAAAGTAAAAAAATGAGGTAGTTGGTACTAGCTAGCAAAAGATAGTTTTGGTACTTGCAAAAAAGTAATTGGAATATACACTAATTGCATACACAATGAAAAGTGACTAAAAAACAAGTAGTGATAAACAAAATTAAATGGACAGGTAAGAATAGTGAATATTATTAATTTGGAGTAAGATTTGACTTGTAATTTAAAATTATGAGCAATTAATAGCAGTAAGAAAGAAGTATAGAGTATTGGAGGTAGTTGGCATTAGCTAGTGATGAAAAATAATAAAAATAATAATGTACAATATAATAGTAACGTACACTATATGCACCACACGTATATATGTATTAAGGGCACTTATCTAATCTGTTACAGAAATGTCAGCTTTTCTAAGGAAGGTAGAGAAATCGTGTTCGTTTGAGATGGTATATTGTTGTCCTGTTGATGTTTTCCTTACTAGTATTTTCCCATCTCGCGTGAAACACTGATGTATTTTGTTTTCCTGTTTAAGTTTTCTCAGCCTGAACAGAAGGTTTTGACGTTTTTTTTGTTAGACACTCATTTATGTACACTCCATTTTTCATTGTAATTGCTGATTTAATTAGGTCCTTTCTTTTATCGTATGAATGAAGTCGGATCATTATACTGTGTTTACTTCCTGGTTTTCCTAGCAAACGTGTTTCTTTGATTTCATTGTTTTGCACGATGACTTGTACGTGGTTCTGTATTATCCTGACAGCAGTTTCTTTGCACTGTGCTTGTGTTATGTCACTACATAATAAAGTGATCAGAAATTACTAATTTGGGCAATTTTGCGCAAAATTCATTTCAAAATAGGTCCAGAATAAATAATGTAGACATTCCTGGCACTAAAATAACATTTTCTTTGTTCATCTGTCATGTCTCCAAGCTCTTATATTACACTTGCTTTTCATTATGAATTTTTATTCACACAAAGAATAGAAGATTTACTGTTATTCAGACTACTGCATAACGGTAATAATTGTATAAATAATGTCAATGCATTTATGAGTGTATATAAGACTGGCCCGTTTACGTGTACTGCACGCATGACGTGTTTTATTTACCCTTGAACATGATCAAAAATCAAACATTTCTGCTACTTTGAGCTCAATTTCAAGCTACTTTGTCTGTAAACCATTCAATATCATCACTATTTCTCTAATATATCTTTCATTCTATCAAATGAGACTAAGAAACCAAGAATAAAACCATAAAAATCATATGAAAATACGTATACCGCAAACTGCTGTTTTACACCAAAAACACGATTGAAGTTTTTTCTCATTATGCACTGCATGCTGCAGGATTTTTTTTATACTGTGCACACTGACCATGCAGACCCATTCTCTCATAAGCAGGCCTACCAGCTTTCTCCTGCAAGACTGTAAGCTGCTAGACCTGGCTTCGAAGCTGTAATATTATGGGACCGACCCCAATAGGGTTAATGGTCCAAACTGAGCCAAAAACATGGTCATAGGTTTCAGTTTCCCATGTGCAGGTTATTTGTGTATGGTTCCAGCCACACAGAATTGCACTTTTTTATACTTACCAATAAGACTCCGTCGTTCTTTGAACCCAGTAAAACGACTTTCTTGATCCTCGGTAATGGTCTTCCACTGCTGCTTCATAGTAAAGTAAAGGTTCTCTCTCTGTCTGCGTCTCTCTTCTCGCTGGATGTACGTGGAGTTCCACAGATTGTGACCCAGCAAAAAGCACCATAGTTCACGGCGAAGGTTTGGATGGATCCCCTGTAAAGTTACAATACTCTCATCAGGCAACACCTGCATTTTCTTACAAATTTAGATAATTTTTAATACGTACAATATAACTATACAAACAAAACTGAGAAATAAAGAAAACTTTTGGTTTAAGAGATTTTGAATTATCACAATTACGACAATTTTAAAATAAATCCACTGTAAAATATCAGTTAATTTTAAAATACATGTACCCATAAAATATCAGATAATAAATAATAATAGCCTTAAAAGAAAAGAAAAGCACAATACCATGGCTGGAACAACACACAAATAACCTGAATGTAGGAGACAATCCAATGAATAATAATCTTTATTTCTACAAGTATATGGGCATGAAGCTTGGGTTGTAAGTGCTGCAGTGAGGAGGCGGTTGGAGGCAGTGGAGATGTCCTGTATAAGGGCAATGTGTGGTGTAAATATTATGCAGAAAATTCGGAGTGTGGAAATTAGGAGAAGGTGTGGAGTTAATAAGAGTATTAGTCAGAAGGCTGAAGAGGGTTTGTTGAGGTGGTTTGGTCATTTAGAGAGAATGGATCAAAGTAGAATGACATGGAGAGCGTATAAATCTGTAGGGGAAGGAAGGCGGGGTAGGGGTCGTCCTCGAAAGGGCTGGAGGGAGGGGGTAGAGGAGGTTGTATGGGCGAGGGGCTTGGACTTCCAGCAAGAGTGCGTGAGCATGTTAGACAGGAGTGAATGGAGACGAATGGTATTTGGGACCTGACGAGCTGTTGGAGTGTGAGCAGGGTAATATTTAGTGAAGGGATTCAGGGAAACCGGTTATTTTATATAGCCAGACTTGAGTCCTGGAAATGGGAAGTACAATGTCTGCACTTTAAAGGAGGGGTTTTGGGATATTGTAAATATATAATAGAACATTACTGATATACAACATTTTTGCATATTTTTGTTGTAAACAATTATTGTAAACAAAATAATAATGAAAATATTAGTGTGTTTATTGAGTTGAATACAACAGTACCATATAGTACCATATGGTACAATGAACCATATGGTATCATTGTACTGTATGGTACAATGTACCATATGGCAAGATTGCACCATATGGTACCATTGTATCATATGGTACCATTGTACCAAATGGTTCCATTGTACCATATTCTACCATATGGTACCATTGTATCATATGGTACTATTGTAGCATGTGCCATTGTACCATATTGTACCATATGTACAATTGTACCATATGGTACCATTGCACCCTATGGCACCATTGTACCATATGGTACTGTTGTATTCAACAAAATAACCGCACTAATATTTTCATCATTTTGTTTACAATAAACTTGTAAACAAGTTTTGTAAGCAATATAATGATAAACAAATTAGTGCAGTTATTGTGTTGAATACAATGAGTGTGCACTTATACAATATACATTATATTGGTCTTACAGGCCACAAATGTTATTAAAAAAAGAAAAAAATTAGAAAAGAAAAGAAAAAAGTATAAAAAACGTAAAATAAAAAAATGCGATTTTGCGGAAGTCACTGATGTTGCCGCCACCCGGTCATTTTTGGTCAACTTCCCGCCGCTGTATCTCGGTAAGCACTTATCAGAAATTTTGTTTTTGCTTTATTACCTTTACCAAAATATTATCCTCAATTCTGTAAGATTTTTTTTTTTTTTTTTTTTCAAAATTTTTTGGACACTGGGGCACCCCTTCCAATTTTGGCCTTGAACCCTGAAAGGGTTAACTACAGTATCAGATCTTTAAGCAAACATTACGATGACCTCATAGCATTACTAAATTCCCTGCATGCCAGTATGTCCATCATTACTCTCACCGAAACCTGGCTAAAGCCTGATACTACAGATGTCGATGCCATTCCTGGTTACAAAGCCATACACAACTGTAGGCCAGACCAACAAGGGGGTGGCACAGCTGTATACTACTCAGACCAACTAGAATGTATCACTAATACTTCCACAAGGGATGAACATGGGGAATATATACAGTGGACCCCCGCATAACGATTACCTCCGAATGCGACCAATTATGTAAGTGTATTTAAGTAAGTGCGTTTGTACGTGTATGTTTGGGGGTCTGAAATGGACTAATCTACTTCACAATATTTCTTATGGGAACAAATTCGGTCAGTACTGGCACCTGAACATACTTCTGGAGTGAAAAAATATCGTTAACCGGGGGTCCACTGTAATAGCTAAATTCAAATCCAAATACCTACAAAAACCTCTCACAGTGATAAACATCTACAGAGTTCCACAGTCAAACATTAGCCGTTTTAGTGAAAACCTAGGAAGTATGATAACTGATGCAAGCATGAATAAAGATCACTTACTACTCTCAGGTGACTTCAATATAAATCTCCTGCAAGACCAGGACCCACACGTGACTGAATTCACAAACACTATGTGTAACTGCTTGTTACTACCAACAGTAATAAAACCTACAAGAATTACAGAGACTAGTGTTTCCCTACTAAACCACATCTGGACCAACACCATATCCCCTTTAAAATCAGGCATAATAACAGACAATACCACAGACTACTACCCTACCTTCCTCATAACTAATCTAGGCAAATTACCCCAAGAGACTACTAAAGTCACTTTCAGATTTCACAATGAGGCAGCCATTAATAACTTCACAACAGCAGTGAAAAACATTGACTGGCACACTGAGATAGAAATCTATACAGATATTGACGAAAGTATTAATAATTTTCTAAAACAGACCCAATACCTCTATAACAAACACTGCCCTAAAAAACTAAACAGATGACAGCTAAGAGACTGAACAGTCCCTGGCTAATACCCAGCATCCTCAAATCCATAAATACAAAGAACCTATACGAAAAACAGTACAGAATGGGTCACATAACCAGAGACCAAACAAAACGTTACTCGTCAATCCTAACCAGCCTGATAAGAAGGGCAAAAAAATAGTATTATGAGAACAGATTATCCAACTTAAAAGGTGATATAAAAAAGACCTGGAAAACCCTATCAGAAATTCTGGGAACAAAAAAGATATCCCGAAACAGCGCAATTGAACTAACAAAACCAGATGAACCCAACTCCCACCAACTGAAACAGCAAACAGAATCAATGATTTCTTCTCCACCATAGGAAAGAGCCTTGCCAATAAAATCCCAAGCTCAAATATCCCACCCAATGACTACCTCACTGGCAATTACCCGAACACACTGTTCCTAGCTCCGACTAACCCAACAGAAGTCTCCCTTATTATCAACACACTAAAAAACAAGACAGGAGACTTAAATACCTTACCATCCTTTATATACAAAAAAGCATCGCAAGTGCTGTACCAATCACTGCAACACTCTTTAACAAATCCATCGAATCCTCTACCTTCCCTACAGTTCTCAAAATAGTGAGGGTCACCCCGATCCATAAAGGAGGAGACCAAACAGACTTGAATAACTATAGGCCAATATCCAACTTACACCCTCTCTCTAAAATCTTCGAAAAATTAATTCAAAAGCAAATCTATTCCTATCTCATCTCCCACAACATACTCCACCCCTGTCAGTTTGGGTTCAGGCCTAATAAAAATACGAATGATGCTATTATACACATGCTAGAACAAATATACACTGCACTAGAGAAAAAAGAAGTCCCACTGGGAATCATCATTGATTAACGTAAAGCTTTTGATACAGTTGACCACGACTTGCTCCACATAAAATTGAGGGCACTCCCTCAACTACCTAAAGCCATACCTCAGCAACAGAAGCCAATATGTGTACACAAATTGAGTAAACTCTTCCGCACAGGCAGTTACAGTTGGTGTCCCACAGGGAAGTGTCCTTGGCCCTCTTCTCTTTCTCGTTTACATAAATGACCTACCAAATGCATCGCAACTACTCAAACTCACACTATTTGCAGATGACACTACATACATCTTCTCTCACCCGAGCCCGGTCATGCTAGCCAATACTGTGAATACCGAATTACAGAAAATATCTACCTGGATGAGGACTAACAAACTTACTCTCAACATTGACAAAACCTACTTCATTCAGTTTGGTAACAGAGCTACAGATGTCCCTCTTAACATAATGATAAACGGATCACCTATCACAAAGCTCACAGAGGGAAAATTCTTAGGAATCCACCTTGATAATAGACTCAAATTTCAAACACATATACAACAAATTTCCAAGAAAATTTCCAAGACCGTAGGCATACTATCGAAGATACGGTACTATGTTCCACAGTCAGCCCTCCTGGCCCTATATCACTCACTTATTTACCCCTAACTCACCTATGGAATTTGTGCATGGGGCTCAACAACAATAAACCATCTCAGACCATTAATTACCCAACAAAAGGCTGCAGTCAGAATGATAACAAATTCCCACTACAGGCAGCACACTCCACCAATATTCAAAACTCTAAACCTATTCACCATACAAAACATCCATACTTATTATTGTACCTACTACATACATCTAACACTCAACTTGGATATAAACCCTCCCCTCAAACGTCTCCTTACCAACCTCAACAGAACACATGGCCATAACAAAAGGCACTGATCACTCTTTGATATTCCTCGTGTCCATCTCACACTATGCAAAAACTCAATGCACATAAAAGGCCCAAAAATCTGGAATTCATTACCTGTGAATATATAAGAAACACTGTCTGTTTATAAATTCAAGTCTCTTCTTAAAAATCACTTACTCACCCACAACTAAATAAATACTGAATAATTGTATCTCATAAATGTTTAACCTGTGACCCAATCAAATTTTGTTATTTTTAATTACATTACCTAACAGAATACTCCATTCTACTGAATGCACAGCAACACAGTAAATGACCATATGACCTGTCTTTGAAATACTCATTTGTGCTTAATTGTTAACTGTTTACAACAATGTTTACCACTAAATATATCATTGCTTAGTTAATCTTAAGCCTGCCCATAATGCTCTGCATACAAGGGGCTTTGGCATGTTACACTTAACCACTGTATTTCCTTGTACTTCTATGTATCATGTTCAAATTAATAAATAAATAAATAAATAAATTCATTCCACTCGGTCTCAATTATTGTGTTTTGGGATTTGGTTTCAGTAAGCTTCAATCTGAAACCATACCCCGGCTGGGATTGAACCCGCAGTCAGAGAGTCTCAAAACTCCAGCCCGTCGTGGTTTAGAGTTTTAGGCTTCAATCTATTACTGCCTTGATTTGACTTAGGGTTATAATCCTCACCATTTCTTTTAACCCGTTGACTGTCGAGACTTCAAATCCTGAAGGTCTCTCTGTACAGCAAAATATTTGAAAAAAAGCAAAAAAAAAAAATTCTTATGAAATGATAAGAGAATCTTTTCCCGGTGGTAATGAGGACAAAAGTACGAAATTTGATGAAAACCTTACAAAATTGCGCTCTCGCGAAGTTTGCGATCTCGGTGATATATACAGATCGGCAATTTTGCCCACTTTTGAGCCCTATTTTTGGCCAATTCCGTTGTTCCAGTCGACCAAACTCCTAGCTATTTCTTTAGAACTCCATTTGTTCTATCGAATGAGTACAAGAAACCGCCCATTTACCAATTTCAACTTCCTAATAAAGTGGTCAGAAATTGGCAATTTGGCCTATTTCATGCAAATTAAAAAAGATGCCAGTTTCAAAATAGGGTCCAGAATAAACAATGTAGACATTCCTAACACTAAAATAACATTTTCTCTGTTCACTAATCATGTCTCCAGGCCCCCTCTTATATTACTTTGGCTTACTATTTTGAATTTTTATTCACACAAAAAATAGATTTACTGTTATACAGACAACTGCATTATAGTAATAATTGTATAAATAATGTCAACCCATTCGTGATTGTGTATTAGAATGGCTAGATGGACACTTATTGGATGGTGACATCAAGGTCCCTTTCATCATGAAACCAATCAAAATCATCTCTATTTCTGTAATATATCTTCCATTCTATCAAATGAGACCAAGAAAACGAAAATACAACCATAAATACTATACAAAAATACACTTCAAAGTTAGCGTTTTAATCCAAAAACAGTTTTTTTTTCCCTCATTATGCACTGATTGCTGCAGGACTTTTTTATACTGCACACACTGACCACACAGACCCATTCCCTCACATGTGGGCCCACCGTCTTTCTCCCGCTTGATTTGAAGCAACTAGAATTTTGGCATATTAATAAGCGTTGGGGGGACACTGTCTTCTGTCTAGTCACAACCAGCTGTGACCTCTCCCCCCCCCCCCCCTCCATCAACACCGGTTTGGCATTCCCAACCACTGTCCATATCAACCTGCCCAGAACATTGGTACTGCACCAATTTACATCACTGTGTACATATTAGCTTTGATTTAATAATTATTTATATATTTAAATTTTCATTTTTGCTTAATGCAGGATTAATTTCATGTTTGAGTGTTTTATATTCTTTAATTTTAATGATTAATAAAAATGTTTATCTTATTATGTTATTATTGAATTTTCTATCTTTTTATTTCCATAAGGAGGAGCCAGCCATATCAAATACTCTTTGAGGGTCAAATAGGGCTGTGTGAACCTTCACAAGTGGCGACCCTGTCAGGATCATCTATGAATTCAAACACCAATATCATCATCGAAGCCCTGTGCACACGGAGTCAGCAGACAGTTACCACCAGCCAATGAGTAATCATTCTCAATGGAAAGACTACAGTACAGGTGTTTAAAAGACATGGTGATTGTTATAGTCTCAATTTTGTGTAAGTCAGATCAGGGCAGGATATATACTAGTTATTGCTGCAACTTTTTGTTTTGAGCTTGAAGCAGTTTCGAGGGATAGACTCAAGGGATCCGAGATATTCCAAGGACAAGTTACTTCATGGAGCTCTAGTTATTATATCAAGGGAACTGTTGTAGGACACTTGATTTGTTAGTGAGAGGATTGGATGGTCAAGAGACCCCATTCTACTTATATTTTTAAAGAATAACTGTAGTTTTACATACACACAACACAGGTAAATACATATAATACTTAACCCTTTGACTGTTTTGGTCGTACATATATATATGACTTATGAAACAGTGTTTTGGACGTATATATACTCAATAATTCTAGTGGCTTCAAATCAAGCAGGAGAAAGCTGGAAGGCCCACATGCGAGAAAATGGGTCTGTGTGGTCAGTGTGCACTGTATAAAAAAAACCTGCAGCACACAGTGCATAATGAGAAAAAAAACTCCAACCGTGTTTTTGGATTAAAACGCCAACTTTGAGGTGAATTTTTGTATAGTATTTATGGTTGTATTCTCGTTTTCTTGGTCTCCTTTGACAGAATGGAAAACATATTACAGAAATATAGATGATTTTAATTAGTTTCACAATGAAAAAGACCTTGAAATTGAGCTCAAAGTAGCGGAAATGTTCGATTTTTACTAATGTTTAAGAGTAAGCAAATCACACCACATGTCCAATACACATTAACTACGGAGTCTAATATTCTTTCACTAGTGCGCTGATATTATTTATACCATTTTTACAATAATGCAGTAGTCTGCATAACAGTAAATCTTCTATTTTTTGTGTGAATAAAAAATCAAAATAGAAAGCAAGAGTAATATATGAGGGGCCTAGAAACCTGACTAATGAACAGAGGATATGTTATTTTAGTGCCAAGAATGTCTGCATTGTTTATTCTTGATCCTATTTTGAAATTGGCATTTTTTTATTTTGTGTGAAATTGGCCAAATTGCAAATTTCTGGCCACTTCATTAGGTAGTTCAAATCAGTAAATGGGCAGTTTGTTATACTCAATTGATAGAAAAAATGGAGTTGTAAAGAAATTGCTATGAGTTTAGTAAACTGGAAGAATGGAATTGGCCGAAAATAGGGTTCAAATTCGGTGAAATCGCCGATGCGTATATGTCGCCGAGATCGCTAACTTCACCGGAGCGTACTTCCATAATTTTTCAATCAAATTTCATACTTTTGGTGTCACTACCATCGGGAAAAGATTCTCTATCATTTCTTAAGTAATTTTTGTTTTTTCCAAAAAATTTTGGACATAGAATGACAGTTTCAGAAAGGGGCTTGCGACAGTCAAAGGGTTAAATTAGTAATACAATAGATAAATTAACATTTAAATAAACATTTAAAATAACATTTACTAACCTTTATTGAAAACTGTTGATAGCATCTGGAAGATAGGGAGGAGGAGTGAGAGAGCACTTATTGTTTGGAAGGGGAATCCCCTTCCATAGAGACTAGGTATCAAGTCCTTATCTAGGGTTACTTACTACCATTTCTTTCTTCACTTCTATGGTGTTTTTCACTTTCTTTACCAAAGCGGTGCCACTAGGAAGTTTCTTTGGGCCCATGTCGCACTTAATAAACAAGCACCAAACAAAATGAATTAATTGTGAAATGGTTGGATGAGCGCACAGGGTAATTAATGTTCACTCAAAGATAAACAAGCAGCCAGACTGACTCATGATGCCTATGCAGGGAGGCGCACAGGCGCGGGCAGGCGGACAGGTCTGGTACGCGGGACGAAACACATGGCACAGTGCGAAACTCTGGACAAAAATTAGCCAAAAAAGGGTTCTAAACTCGAAGCATACGATACTCAGGGAGGATAAAACTTGGGGTTCCACTGTATATATCATAAAGTACCTGGGGGAATGGGAAACAATCAGATTTCATCCAAGGAAAGATAAAATTAGTTCCACTTCTCAACAGGTTCACCAGAGACAGTGGCTGTCTGGATCCTCATGTAAACATGTCTTAGTTGTGTCCACAGAACAAACACTAGCTCGGAGATGGCATCGATGCTGTGTGTAAAGTGACAAAACAAATTTCAAAATGCTATTTACCCCTTTAAATATTCGTTGCTTGAGAGGTTCAACATCCAGGATGCGACCGTCGTCATCCAGAAACTGCTGGAAATCATCATGTGTGAGAGGCGCTAATCTGTCTACATCCGGACGCTCAGCAAGGGTGCCCTTCTTTGTCAGAAGCTCATATCCTGCAAACACCATAATACACACGGTGTCCAAACATTATAATAGTAAATTTATGGCATAAGATAATGACATTAAGTAATACTAATACAATCTCTCCTCACTTAACGACGGAGTTCTGTTCCTAAGACCACATCGGTAAACGAATTCGTCACTAAGCAAGGAGCATACAATAATGGTACAGTGGTACCCCGAATTTCATACAGCTCCCAACTCGAACAATTATGTAAGTGTATTATTGTAAGTGTATTTTTTGGGGTCTGAAACGGACTAATCTAACTTACGTTATTCCTTATGGGAACAAATTCGTTCCGTAACGGCACTCGAACAGCCTTCTGGAACAAATTATGGCCGAAACTCGGGGTATCACCATGGTAGGTTTATGTCAATCATCTTTGATATTGTTTTAACCCCTTTCAGGGTCCGTGCCATAGATCTACGGCTTTACGTTGAGGGTCCAAACCGTAGATCTACGCCATGAGGTCAGCTCACTCTGATAAGCTGTGAGTGGTAAATCTGGACCTACATATGAGAGAATACATCTATGTGGTAAGTGTGCATCACATAAAACAAATCCTGCAGCTCACAGTGGATAACGAGAGAAAAAAACTGAGACTGTAATTTTCGATTAAAACAGCAACTTTGCAGCATTTTTTCGTATCTTTTTTATAGTTGTATTTGGGATTTCTTGGTCTCATTTGACAGAATGGAGGATATATTACAGAAATAGAGATGATTTTGATTGGTTTTAGTACTGGAAATGGCTTGAAACTAAGCTCAAATTAGCGGAAATGTTAAATTTTTGCCGATGTTCAAGAGCAAACAAATGACCGTACACATTTAATACACGCCAGCTGATGGTTCTAATGTATGTTCACAAATGTGGTGATATTATTTATACAATTATTACAATATTGCATAACAGTAAATCTTCTATTTTTTGGTTTGAATAAAAATTCATTATGTGAATAAAAAAATCAAAATGGAATTTATTTGTAAAGCCTCAAAACATAACTAATGAACAGAGGAAATGTTAGTTCAGTGCCAGGAATGCCTGCATTGTTTATTCTGGACCCAATTTTGAAATTGGAATATTTTGAACTTTGCATTAAATTGGCCAAATTACCAATTTCCGATCACTTTATTTTGTAGTTGAAACAGTTAACTTGGTGATTTCTTATGATCAATCGATAAAATGGAAGTAATACTAGTGAAATAGCTAAGAATCTGGTCGACTGGAATAATGTAATTGGCCTAAAATGGGAGTCAAAGTCGGCAAAATCGCCGATGCATAAATATCACTGACACACCAAAATTTGCGAGAGCATAATTTCATCAATTTTCCATCAAATTTCGTACTTTTTGTTTTATTACCTTCAGAAAAAGATTCTCTACCATTTCATAAGAAATTATTTTTTTTAAATTCTTGGACTCTGGTGCACACGTTGAAATTTGGCCTCTGGACCCTGAAAGGGTTAATGTCACCTATGCACCATTTATAACATTTTTTGTATAGGTATTTTAAATGTTTATACAGTACCATACTATATATTGTAATAAACAGAATAGAGGAAATCAGCTCTAATATACATTATTTAGGTATGTACGTGCATACTGGTCAGAGAGCCTGTCATAAGTCCGAGTTGTCAATAAACAAGTACATCATTAAGTGAGGAGAGGTTGTACAGTAATGTATTATATACTGAATAAAAGATTACAATGATTGTGTGTGTGTTTTAATACTCATGCACTTGTGCACACACACACACATGAACACATGCACATGCGGACACACACAAACATGCACAAGCGCACACATACAAGAAGTCTTACAATCATAAAAATATTGGTGATATTATAAGACCACATAATGCCTGGAAAGAGACTGCCACAAGAGTAGAAAGTACTAAGACTAGCAGTGTAATTACCTGGCTCTAGGTCCTCAAAACCATTAAGACTGTGGAAGAGCTCTGCTACATCATCCTCTGCTCCATCACTCTCACGAATGTAACCCTCCACTCCAGTGTATA